CAGAGGACCAGGTACCACGCTTAATAGAGCAGAGTCTGAAGCAGTCTTCAGATGAAACCCTTCAGCCCACTAGAGGAAGGTGGAAGGAACAGACCCCCCACGCCACCAAGGATTTCCCTTGGGAATAGCTTACTGTTCCCTGGGAGAACATGAGGGCCACAGGTTCCCTCCCTCTTCAGAACGCCACCACTGGGATTGATAGGGTGGGTGTGATGCAGACATGTGCACAGACAGTAGTAGATGTGGATCTGTGAAAGAGTCACATGCGAAAGGATGGTGTCGGTACTGTGCCTGGAGAGAGGAAGAGGGACACAAGCCCTTCAAAGTGACAGATGATTTAAAAATCATGTGGGGGCTGGCATTCCTGCCCATGAGGCATGTGACTACACGTGATGAATGGAGAAAGGCTTTTGTCATCATGAGGGCATGACTGTGCGTGACGAACTGGGAGAAATAACTGCAAATGGTTGTGTTATGAGTGATCCTTGGAAGAAAGCATCCCACATCCCATGCCTTCACATCCTATTGCTTCTAGCCTGAAGTATCGCTGACCAGTCAGGAACTAGGCCGGGGTAGCTGTGGAGGGCTGAGGGCAAACTGCTGGGGGACAGATAAAGCAGGATGTGCATTAGAGAGAATGCCAGAGAGCTCCATGTTTTGAGTCAATGAGGTGCCCTTCCGTGGAGACACACATAACCGAAGCATGTGACCCACTGTACTACGCCAAACGTGCAAAGTCAGGCACCACATAAAACACTTAGCAGTTCTGGAATCTACATATGTCTGCTGCCGGGTCCCTAAGAGGCCCTTTCCAAGCTGTGTCAAGTGATGCCAAGTATTACTGGACAACGATGATGCATGCCTGCCATCCTGAGTGGCTTGGCCAGGAGGATTGCAAGACCAAGACTAGCCTGGGCTACATAGAGACTGTCTCAAAAACAAAACACAATTTAAAAACACCTGTGTCCTTCTGCTCTGGCAAGCTTCTCTAAGACATTAAGATAGAGCTGTCGTTATACAATGGCGGAAAGACAAATCTACATAGCAACCTGTGAGTGACGTCAGTTACCTAGATGTTCTTAATTAGGTTTCTGTGAGTATGATATTCTTGCTTAGTTAACTTTCCTATCAATCTAAACTTAACCAGAGATCTCATTCAGGGATTTTTTAAAAAATTTTTATTGCTGACTTTTCTTAAAATTTACTTATTTTTTTATGTACACAACGTTCAGTGTTCTGCATGTATGTATGCCTGCAATGCAGGCCAGAAGAGGGCACCAGAATGCATTATTGGTGGTTGTGAGCCACCATGTGGTTGCTGGGAATTGAACTCATGACCTCTGAAAGAGCAACCAGTGCTCTTAACCTCTGAGCCATCTCTCCAGCCCCCATTCAGGGAATTTTAAATAGGAAATATTTTTGAAATGTTAACTTTCTTGTCTTATCGAGAACAGCTGAATGATGGAACAGACACCCCATTTGGTGTACTGGAACTCTGCATGGCCTGGGGCTTGGGTTTCTAGGTTCACAATGATTATTTGCACCTTCTCTCTAAAATGACTTATCACACCCTGGAAGGTGATATTCTTGGTCTTTCTCTTTCTTTCTACCTTGCCTCATAATTTAAAGTATATGGCATTATAAATTTCACCCAATTAACCAAGCCTTTTGTGAAGGAAAAAGAGCAATAATGACTAGTTGATGGTTGATTGGCAGATAGTTGGTCTCTAGGAGACCAAAAAGCCTTGAAGTTAGTGCTCCCGGGGACAGTTAGGTCTACCTGCGAGTGTATATACCCAGGTGGAAAGGCAGGGAAGCGCAATGAGGAAACAGAGACATGTTCACGACATTGTAGCAAGAGATACGTCTAAGAAAACGCCCCTGAGGTCAGTAATCCCAGAGATTCAATTTCAACAACATCAAGAGTAGTATTTGGGACTGACTGTGCTGGCATCTACATTTAATAAATCCAATCACTCAGGAGGCAGAGACAAGCAGATCCCTGAGTTCGAGGCCAGCCTGGTCTACAGATGGGGTTCCAGGACAGCCAGGGCTATACAAAGAGAAACCTTGTTTCAAACAAACCAACAGAAAAGGGTAGTATTTGTCATGTAGTGGGCGCTTAATGAAGATTTGTTGACTGAATGGAGGTCTGTCTGTATACACAATCTGGTCTACACGGATTTCCTCCGACCACCATCTATTTGGCTATCATCCATTCGTCCTTACCTCCAACCTCTTCTCCATCTAGTATTAATGCACTTATCCTGAGTGAGGTTCTATACCACGGGCTACAGGGGATTTGGTGCTAGATAAGATGCAGCCCCTTATGTAGTCGCATCTGTCTCAACAGACTGTGTAACGGAGGGAGGCTGACAGACTATATATAATATCCAGACTACATTATCATTGCTGTACCTTGGATACAGTTTGCCCCTCAGACAGTTCATGTACTGGAGCCTTGGTTCCCATGGTGATAAGATTGAGATGGTGGGACCTTTAAGAGGTGGTGTCTAATGGAAAGTAATTGCATTATGGATTCCACCCTCTGAAGGTATGAATGCTGGTCTTGCAGAATGGGCTGGGTCTTGCGGGAATGACTGAGTTCCTTAAAGGTTGGATTGGCATCCAAGTGTATCTGGTTTCTCCTTGGTCTCTTGCTTCCTATCTTATGTGAGAAACCCTCTCCAGGTGCCTCTGAAATGTGCTGTCCTCCTGAAGTCCCCATCAGAAGGCAAGTAGATGCTGGTAATATACTGGAGCCTCCCGGAACTATCAGCAACAAACCTCTTTTATTTTTAACTTAGCCTTGGGTATTCTGTTAGCGAAACATAAAACCGACAAACGCATCCCTCTAACTCCACTACCCTGCAGCTTTGCCTTTGGGAAATCCTGGTTGCCACTCCATTGAAAATCAAATCTGTATGCTTCCTAAAGGAAATTTCCATTTTCCTGTCCAGACTGGTGTAGACGCTGGTCCCTGCCACAGCAGAACAATAGACTAGCTTCACCAATGATTTCTTCTGAAGTGGTTTTGGTATTCAACCGGGTTAGACCTCTTCCACCCCTTCCCATTCCCACTCATATTATTTCACATGTTTTTCTCCTTTGAACATCTTTACTCAGATGTTCCAAAGAGTAAATGTGAGACCATGGCCACTTAAAGGTTGGGATCTCCTGGGTGGTAAGGAATTTCCAGCATGCTCAATTCTGGACAACCGTTAGAATGCTGTTTAGGGACAATTCTCCACCCATCGTCCTTGCTTTACACCAATGTCCCCTTGCTGCATTTCAGAGTAAAATAAAACTTCTCCTCTCTGGAAACTTAAATTAGGGGCCCATGGAAGACTTTGGACATTAATCATCTTTAGGGAGAAGCATGAATATTTCTTTAAAATATACATGTGGTTCTCCTTCCATTCCTGTTTGCTTTGACAATGTCTCACTGACTCGATTTACTTATCCTTCTAGATCAGCTTCTTCAGTGCTAGGACTATAGATGTGATCCATCTACCATGTCCAATTTCAGCAGTGTAGTCTAGTAGATGGTCTGGAACTCCAAGGAATAATTTCTTACTGCCAGCAGATTTGATTTTTTTTGTTTTTGGTTTTGGTTTTTCGAGACATGGTTTCTTTGTGTCTTTAGAGGCTGTTCTGGAACTAGCTATTGTAGACCAGGCTGGTCTCGAACTTACAGAGACCGCTTGCCTCTGCCTCCTGAGTGTTGGGATTAAAGGTGTGCACCACCAATGCCCGGCTTGTTTTTGTTTTTACTATACTTGGCTATATGGACTTTTTGGTAAAAAATCTAAAATGTTTGTATTTGTACATTGTGGTTCTCTCAGTGTCTAATTTGGTGACATTCAGGACTTTGCACATGTGACACTGTATCTGCAATGTGCTTCTTGGGTTTTTTTTTTTTTTTGGTTTTTTGAGACAAGGTTTCTCTGTAGCTTTGGAGGCTGTCCTGGAACTCACTTTGTAGACCAGGCTGGCTTTGAACCCACAGAGATCCGCCTGCCTCTGCCTCCCGAGTGCTGGGATTAAAGGCGTGCGCCAACAACACCCGGCTGCAATGTGCTTCTTAAGACTTCTCCTTCTGCACAAACTCACGATGGTACAATACATTCTCCAGACACTGCAGTCATATCATCCTGTTTATAGCAACTGCACCTGCATCTTCAGAGTGACAGAAATTGAAGTCACCTGTCACTGTCACTCTCTGCTTGAACAAACCAGAGGTCAGGAACCATGATCCCCATACTACACGTGTAGTGTAAGAGCAAGGTAAACTAGAGAGGATGGAGTTAACTCCATCCTCAGAAAAGCCACCCTGAGAAATTCCCTTCGTAACACAAGGCTTATTTAGCTCCAACCAAGGAACCATAAACAATTTCAAGGAGCACCCAAATTGTGCCCACCCCAGACAAAGTGACCCCATCTGGGTGGTCAGGCAATGACTAATTTTGGTAAATAACATCTTGTTACAACTGTCCTTGTGGCAACTGTTACTAACAATTTTGAAATTCCCCTAGCCCCCACGTCAATGAATCCAAAGGTTACCTACTCTTACCCAATCCTGAACAGCCAAGGCAGGTACCACCCTGCTTGCGGTTTTTTCCTTTAAAACCCCCTTGCAATTGAGGCCAGACACCCTTTTCCTGCAGCTGCTGTGCTAGTTTTCTGGACAGGGTCCCTGCCGAGGTTTGTAGCTTAACAATAAACCTTGTGCATTTGCATGTGAGCCGACTTCTTGGGGGTCTTTTGGGGGGTCTCACGAACTTGGCATAACATGTAGGAGTTAAGGCCCAGAAAGGTGATCTACCTGAAGTCACTCAGTAAGGTGGGAAGCCAACTAGGTAAAAGGCCAGGTAAGATGTGCCTCCTAGTGCTTGGCTCACAAACAAATGCTCACAGTGTGAAGAAAGCAGTTCTGAGGCTGGAACATTCTATGAAGGTTTCTGAAACAACTCAGGGACCACAAGATCAAAGAACCATAATCACATCAACTTTTTAGTTAAACACTCCTGTCCCAGAGACAACACCAGTTATTACAGCTCACCGACAAGAAGGATTTTTGAGGAGAAAACCACCCATTCAAGAAATAAGCCTTGGTACATAGCTCCTTTCCTGGCTTCACATCATCTCACACGTGACACCTAAACACAGCTTTCTTCTACACAAGACTACTCTTAGCATGTGATGGGGTAGGGTCAATGAGGGGTGTGGGCAATAACCAGTCATTTTAGGGACGATTCTGCCAGCAGAATATACACAAAACACATCTAATGCAGTACATCTCTACCCTGATTCCTGTCTTTTTGGTAAGTTTTTTTAAACTTCCTGATCTTAATTTAATGTAAAAAGTGGGATGGTTCACTTCCCACTTTCCCGGGCCAAGACCCAGCTGATAGGTGGATAAGAGTGGGGTCCGTTTCAGCTTTGTGGAAGGAGCACTCTACGGGTTAAAATTGCCTAATGATAACTGAACCTTCTGACCAGGAAACGGCTTGCTTGGTATTACAGGTACCCCCTGATACACACACACACACACCCCTCAGACACTAGAAGACCATCTCTCTGTGTTGAACTGCCCTGTCTAAGGCCAGCAATCCATATTACCAGACACAAACTAGGGTAATGGCAGTCCTCCCGCCTCCCAACTCCAGGTCAAGAAAGGCACAAAGGAGACCAACACTGCGCTTTGGATCCAGGAGACCTTGAGGTACCAGAAGAGTTCTGATGGCCCCATCTGGTAGATGGGCAAGGTGAGGCACCAAGAGACGGATAAATACTTCAGGTATAAGTGAGAGGGTACTGGGAACTTAAAGAGGGGAGACTCTTTGTCTCCTAGGGGAGAGTGACACCCCACCCACAACAGCACAGCTCAACGCAGAGCAATGCTAACCCTTCAGCCACCAGTCAAGCGGCCAAGGATCCTAAATTGTCCTCAGGGCACTGAACTGACTTTCACAGAGGGAATCTCACACACTCCAGACTCTTCAGGGTTTCACCCTTGAAACTTCATTCAAGGCTGGGGCTTTGGGCAAGAGCGGCCTGGGCAGGCACAGAAGGTCGCTCTGCTTTGTAAGGCAATAGCTTGTGTCTGCGGGAGCTGGCCATCAGACACTGCCTCCACTGAAATCTAGGGAAGCCTCACAGGGTGGAACACTGCTGCCTAAGGGCACCACCACCTCCGGGACGGCGGGGGACGGAGGGCTTCCATTAAACCTAAACGGCATCACCAAACCAACCCATTTCTTATGCCGTGTGGGAGAATAAGTGATTAGTATCTGCAAATGATTGTCTAACTAGGAAGTCTAGGGACTCAACTGAAAAAAATTATGGGAACGGGAGAATTTGTTCAGGTGTCTGATGAACTGTCCAGCGCTCAAAACAAATAGCTTGTATGGTCACTTGTGCATAAGCTAACATCTTCGAAGAACTGTGCTTTCTTGGGAGACTTTTTAAGTTCTGTGCAACTTGTGTTTTGGAAGATAGCGGTGAGTCTCGGCGATATCCCCTGGGCTGTTGCAATTGAAAGTCGTTTTGAACACAAATGTCAGAAAGATGCCCAAGGCAGCTGTGGCAGAAAACCCGACATTCACCTCTGTGCTCTCTCCTAGGGGGACCCTCCCCCTCCCCACCTATTTTCTATTCCAACCCAAAGACACAGGTGGATGTGGGTAAATTGTGCCATATCCTTTCCAAAGGAAGGGCGTCTGTAAAGCAACGGTGGCCGACGGAAAAGTACCCTGTCTGGCTTCTCACTGTCTCATGGTTCATTAGTCTGGGGAGTTCGTGGTGTGGCACCTGGACTGGAGATGCCTGAAGTTTAGTCAAAGTGGCTAAGGGAGGGCCCCACCTGTCTCGATAAAGCGGCATGGCCTGCTCAGGGCGGCTGTCATTTGCGGTCCAGGCTGGCATGCAGCTGGGCCTCTCGAACCATGCGATCAAAAGAGCGCGTGTTGGTCTCCTCCCGCACCTTCTCCCGCACATGGAAGGAGGCCCGGGCTGTGGAGCGAGCGCTCTCCAGCGCGCTTCGCCGTTCTCGAGACAGCTGCTCGCTGCGCTCCAGCTTACGCCCAATGGCCTGCAGCAGCTCCCGGCGGCGGCAGTCTTCATCTCGCTCCACCTTCTCCTTGTTGGCGCGCTGAGTCCTCTCCTTCTCCAGTCGAGTCTGAACCACGCGCCGGGCTTTCTGCTGCACCGCCTCTTCCGCCACCTGCGCCGCATGCTGCAGCCGCCGTTCTCCGGCCCGCGCCAGCGCCTCCAAGTGCGCCTGATGCTCCCGCTCTTTGCGTTCGGCCGCTTCCTTAGCCCGCCGACCCTGCAGCTCCTCCTTCCGGGCTCGCTCCCGAAGCTCCCTGGCGCGCTGCTCCTGCAGCTGCTCGTAGTTCTCCTGCGCGCGGCCCAAGCTAGCCTCCAGGGAGCTCCGCAGGCCCTCCCGCTCCTCGTGCTGCTGCCGGACTCGGCCTCGAAGCAGGGCCTCGTGGCGCGCCCGCTCGGCCCGGCTCAGCTCCCGCTTCTCCCGCTGCAGCTGACCCTCTTGTCGCTGCTTGGCCCGCGCCGCGCGCTGGGCGCGCTCCCGGCGGGCCAGCTCTGCGCGCTCCCGCCCTTCCTGCAGGCCCTCCTCCCGCTGCTTCAGGTTCTGCTCCTGCTGCAGCTTGCGCAGGCGGTCGTCGCGCGCCGCGCGTTCCGCCTTCTCCCGCCGCAGCAGGCCCTGGCGCTCCGCCAGCTCCCGCCGCCGCTCCTCGCTGCGCTCACACTGCTGCTGCCGCCTCCGCGCGGCCTCCCGTTCCTCCCGGCCCCGGCGGCCCCGGCGCTCCTCCACCTGCGCGGCCCAGGCGCGCCGGCCCTGCTCCAGCGCGCGCTGCTTCTCGCGTTCCTCGCGCTCCCGCCGCTGCTCGGCGCGCACGCGCTGTTGCTCCCACTGGCCGTGGGCGGCGGCGCGTTGCTCCAGCAACAGGCGCTCCTCCTGGTGTCTGGCCAGCATGAGAGCGGCGATCTTGCGGTCGCGCTCGGGTACCCCGCGCAGGCCTCGCTCAGCGCGCACTTGGCGCACGATGCGCTCCACATGCTGAGCGGTCTGAGGCGAGTGGCTCAGGTCGCCGAGGCTGAAGCTGCGGGCTGTGAGTGGGACCAAATCGAGGGCCGAAGGGCGGCCCAGTGGGTTGGGTGCAGACGACGCGGACCCCGCGGGGCAGCTGTTCCTGGCTGAAGCTCGAGGTGGCCAGCGAAGCTCCCGAAGGCTCTCCCCGCTGTAGGACGATGACGAGGCGCCGGACTCGGAGCTGAGGGCACCGTCCCGCCGGCGGGACAGCGAGTCCAGCGAGTGGCTCTTCCTACCTGTCCGAGAACCTGCGGGAGGAGGTCGGGTCCTGGCGGGGGGACTGGGAGAAGTCCTTCGAGCAACCCTCGAGGCGGGCGAGGCCGGGAGGCTACTGCTGCTGCAGCTGCTGCTGCTGCCGCCCGCGCTCGGCGCCGAAGCGGAGGCGGAGGCCGGGGCTGCAGCTGGGCCCTTGGGCGTGAACAGGCGCCGCTTCTCCTCGCGCATGATGCGTTCGCGCTCAGCACGGCACTGCTGCAGTTTGGCGAGCCGCTCGGCCTCGTAGGCCTCATACAGGCCAGTGGCCACTCGCATGGAGCGGCCCGGAGCCTCGCGCACCAGGTCGGCCAGGGCCCGAGGCAGCAGTTCCACTGGCTTGACGGCACAGCGGGCACAGGCCTCCAGCGAGCGGGGGCTGGTCAGGACATAGCGGCTGCCCTCTGCCTCCGGGCAGGTGAAGTTGAAGAGATCGAGGTGCAGCAGCGGGGACTGCTCGCGACGCCCACCTTCTGCTCCGCAGGGGACTTCGGCCTTGCGTGGAGCCGCAGCCGCCGCGGAGGCGGAGGTCGAGGAGGCAGCAGGCTGTTGGGCTCCCTGGGCATCTGGGGGCACGGACGCTGTGGCCCCATCCCCTTCTGAGCCACCAGGCTCCGCTCCCTCTTTCTCCTCTTCTGGCACCGGGTCCACCATAGCTGAGCCTCGTCCTTTGTTGGAGTCCCTGAGATGACGGGAGGGGGCGAGCATAGAGGAATGCATCCGTGAGCTGTTAGTCCCTCCTCAACCATATTTACCCCTCCCAACTTAATCCGATTTCAGACTAGGCTCGGGCCTGATGGAACGTAAATCCTAAAACCAATGCCGTGAAAAGCCGGGCTGAGCAGTTGGGGTGGGGGTGCGGGACACTGGGGCTCAGTCAGCAGCCTCAGTCTTTCTTAGTCCTAGAATGCAGGGCCTGTGGGGGGACTACATTGGCACCAGCCCCGCTAGATGCATCCCTTCCTGTTAAGATGAGGTGCAAGGCAGCAGCCAGCGAGGGAGGCGCTGAAGGATTCCCGGGAGGATTAGCTATTTGTTTGTAGCTTAGGCGGGCTGCTGGGATGCAGCTTTGCAGGAACACAAAAGGGGAAGAGGCCCGTTCATGCCAAAGAGCATTGCTGTGGGGGCCCCAGTTGCCTAGGAAGAAGTTTATGGTTGATTTCTCTCTGCCAAAAGGACCCGGGAAGCAGGGCCCCTGGGAGATGGAAGGGCGGAGAGAAGTCTCCCAAGGCTCCTCTCTGAGTGGAGTGATGGATTCTTTCTCCTGCCTCTCCGGCAGGGCTTGCTGGGAGCTCTGTCTGCTTCTTCCTCCACCCCCCACCCAGTGTTTCCCCGGGATCCAACCAGATGCACCCGACCTCCAAGGCTGAATGAATGTGCCGCTAAAGCATCAACCCCAGTATGGTGGACTCAGACACCCACCAGATCCTTCACCGCATCTCAGGGAAGTGGGCTCTCAGCTCTGTAAACCCTTCCGCTCCATGCTGGGAGCTGCTAGGTCCCCGGGAGGGTTCACTTACCCCAGGTCCGGGCTCCGGCCCCCACACCGAGGGCTTTTGTTCACCTCTAGCGGCTTTCCCTGGCTCCTCTTCAGTCCCTGCGCCGGCGGGGTCGGGTTACTGCCGGCTGCAGCATCCAGCGTCTCTCCATGAGGGACTGTGAACAGGGTGCACACATCCCAGACGCTACCTACCCGGGGAAGGGGGAGTGCGACAAAGTCTCCCTAAAATAACGAGGCTCTGTTCTCTTGCTCACACTGATTCTTAAAAAAGGAAGCTGGGTCCCCTCGCCGCTGCATCCATCTCCACCTCTACCGCCAAGGTACCGCAGGTCTTTCGCTGCCCTTGGCGCCTCCTGGTGGCCGCTTAGGGGTGTTCGTTTGTTTGCTTAGAGGACGACAAAGCTATTAAAAAACACAGTAACTACACATTTATGTATGAATATAAATATGTGTGCATAAAAGCATGTATGCATACACATGTAATACACATATACAGAGACGTGTGTGGATATAGCAATTAGGTTTCACTAGAAACCTAATCTTTGCGCCCCTTAGGTGGGTGGAATGAAGTGGATGAAATGGAATATTTCTCAAAGGGATCCTGAGACGCAAACAAACTAGACAGCAACTGATTGGGTAGAAATAGAGTACTTGATCCAAATTGTGAGTTTATTATTTAAGGAAAACTAAGATGGGAGAAGGAGCGAGTGTAATGACACATGTATGAAGATGTCATTACTTTGTATACTAACCTAAAATTTAAAAAACAAGCAAACACAACAAAAACAGGTATGGGTTTGAGGCTGGCAGAGCATAAGTGACCAATGAGTGCAACTTGTGAGTTTCTAGTTTCCCGTGACAAAACAAGTTAGTACCATTTAATGAGTGCTGCTTGCTGACACCTCATCCCGCCACTCCATTGTGAGTGGTAGTGGCCAAAGAGATTCCAGACTGGAATCCTCCAAGGAGAGGAGGTGGGTGAGATGTAGCATTAGAGAGTGGTGAATGATGCTGTTTAAGATTCCGACAGGGAAGCTGTGAGGAGAAGTGAAGGTTTTGAGCAAGGAGAGGACATAGATATAGTTTATATTTTAGGAACATAACTCTAGCAACAGCAGGGCTAGGAAAAGACTAAGGAAACCCAGTTAGGGAGGCCCTGCAGTAACACAATACAGGGAATGCTGGAATCAGAAATGGAGCGTTGGTAAGGAAAGAGGAGGGGGGTTCTGTAAACAGAGTGAAAGGAGCAGCACTCAGTATCTCAGCTCTAGGGTTTGGGAAAAAGTGAGGATCAAGGATGACTGTGGAATAGTGAGATGCTGTGCGTGTCCAGGGGGGAGGACTACCTGCTATGGGATGCCACTGTTGGACAATTACTCACCTCCAGTTAAATATAGAGCAGGGCTGCTCAGCAGGTGGCTGGGTAAGTCATATCAGAGGTCTGGACTGGAGCTAGATTGAGGATGTCCTCACCTATGTAAGGTTCCTGTGCTGGCTAGTTTTAAGTCAACTTGACACAAACTAGAGTCAGTTAAGAAGAGGTAACCTGAACCAGGAAAATGCATCCCAGACTGTTCTGTAGGCAAAACTGTGTTGCATTTTCTTTATTAGTGATTGCTGTGGAAGAGCCTTCCCTTTGTGTGAGGCTTCACCTCTGGGCAGGTGATCATGGATGTGTAAGGAAGCAGGCTGATGAGTAAGCCTTGGGGAGCAAACCAGTAAGCAGCACTCCTCCATTGCCTCTGTATCTGTTCCAGTCTCCAGGTTCTTGCCTTGAGTTTCTGCCATGGTTTCCTTCAATGATGAAACTGTGATGTAGATCTGTAAGCAGAAATAAAATCTCTCCTCCCCAAGTTGCTTTGGTCCTGGTATTCTATCTAGCAGTAGAACCCCTAACTAAGACATTTCTCAAACCAATAATATGAGTGAGATCACCCAGGGAGGGTTGATAAGAGGAAGTCATTGATGGGCCTTCAAAGGACAAGGAGATGCACAGATGAGACCAATAAGGAACAGAAGGAGAGTGTGCTATGTGAGCAGAAGACTCAGAAGAATGTGCACCCAATGCTAAGGGCTACACAGATCCAAATTGGTTTCTTCTGGAATCAAATATCCAAAGAAACTAACAGTTACCAGCCTTGGGTGATACTGGCAAAAACAAAACAAAACAACAACAACAACAAAAAACCAAAAAGGTAAAAAGAAAAACAGGCCAGTGTGTTATACTGGGAGCAGATGGCAACGCGCAATGGTAGTCAAGGAAGTAGGAATTGATTCTTTTGACTCTTAGGTGATGATGTTAAGAGCTGTAAGTTTGAACTTTATCCTACTTACAAGCTAGCAAGTTAGCCTCCATCTTGCATAGATGCTGGCAGAAGACATGATACTCCTGGGCCAGAAACAAAGAACTTCGTTACTCATGTACAGAAAGAACATGACGTTCATTTTCTTGGTCGGAGAGTGGGACCAAGTAGATACTGCACACAAAAGAGGCATATGTGTGTCACAGCTGGGGCACTCCAAAGGGGCTGTGATGCTTAATCTTCATCATCAGTTTGATTGACCTTGAATCACTTAGAGATACACCTCTAGGTGTATCTGTATGGCATTTTCAGAGAGGGCTAGCTTCGGGAGGAAGACCCAGTCTGAATGTGGGAGCACCAACCCATGATCTGGGATCCTGTACTAAATGAGAGGTGGGGTACAGCGCTTGCGTGGCATGCTCAAAGACCTGAGTTTGATCTCTAATACCATATAAAGTCCTGCATGGTAGTGCATGCCTGTAATCCCAGCACTCAGGAGGTAAAGGCAGATCAGAAAATTCAAGGTTTCCCTTAGCTACTTTCCTACTGACGTGGAGGCTAACCTGTGCTGAATTACTAAGACCTTGCTGTCTCAAAAAGGGACAGAAAAGGCAATGTGAGCTAAGCACCGAGAGTCTTACATTTGTACTTCTGTTTCTTGACTATGGATACAATGTCACCTGTCTGTATGCCTTCCCATCATGATGGACTGTACCCGTTTTTAAACCAGGAATCAAAATAAGTATTTTCCCCTCAAGTTGCTTGTATCGGATATTTGGCCATAGCAATGTAAAGCATAGCTAACAAGGAGCTAATAGCAAGCATGCTCTCTCTGTCCAAGGAGGACATTATTTTAGTTATCCTGACTGACTCGGGGAGCCGCTGTCTCTGTTGTTCAAGGATGTTTGCTAAACAAGCGTTCCTGCATAAAGTCTAAAAAGGCTTTATAAGACATGCTGCACGGGATAGCAAAGGGGCCGCTGGTCACATGACTAGTAAGCCATCGGGCTGGGATTTGGACCAGGCCCTGTCTAATCTTGAAGAGAAGGCTATGCTTTGAGTTTCTACATTGAACTGTGAATCTGGAGAGATGTCGATTCCGGTGGTGATGAGTGGGGTGGACAAGTCAACACATCCATGCCTGGGTTTTCCTCTTTGCAGAGAATCCCATTAAATTATCTTGCAGAGAGCTGGGTATGGTGGCTCACGCTTTTAATCCCAGCACTCAAGAGGCAGAGGCAAGTGATCTCTGTGAGTTCAAGGCTAGCCTGGTCTACAAATTGTGTTCTCTGTCTCCAAATATATATATATATATATATATATATATCTTGAAGAACTAGAAAGACTGTGTAAAATTAGAAGCAAACATATTTTTACTGAGCAGTGGTAAATACCATTTATTTTGATAAATCTTGTAGATATGGTCAAACCAATAAGAAGATGTGTGTGAGAGAGAGAGAGAGAGAGAGAGAGAGAGAGAGAGGGAGAGAAGGAGAGAGAGAGAGAGAGAGAGAGAGAGAGAGAGAGAGAGAGAGAGAGAGAGAGCACTTTAAATTTGCTGATAATGCCCTAGAACTCCTGATCCTCCTGACTCTACATTCCAAGTGCTGGGATTACACAGAAGCAAAGGTCTGGTGTCCATCATAGGGAGATTCCCTGCCTGCCAAAGATTAAGGATGTCACACCCAGTTTCATTGTGGCACTTAGTAGAGAAATCAACACCCACCTGCCCATGGTGGTGAGGCTGTAATGGCAAGGGAAGGTAGACTTAAGAGTCAGACAGGTGGATGGGTTAGGTATGGCTCGACCAGGCTGTGTTAGTTCAGGCAATTTTTAAAATCCTTTTTATTTATGTTATGTGTGTGAATATATGCCGTGTGTGTGTGTGTGTGTGTGTGTGTGTGTGTGTGTGTGTGTGTTTGCAAAGGCCAGAAGAAGGCATCAGAGCCCCTGGAACTGGAGTAACAGGCTATTGTGCCCTACCTGCCACACACCATGTCAGGGGCAGCACTGAACTCAAGCTCTCTGGAAGAGCAGTAAATTCTCCTGACCTCTGAGCTATCTCTCTACCCCCCACACACAAGTTTTTTTTAACCCCTCTGACTCTCATCTTAAACACAAATTTATTTTGCCTTGCAAAATCCTTAAAGATAACTTACTGGCTTCTTTCTTAGGTTTGTAATGCCGTAGCTTATTTATTTAGACTAAAGCAAAAATAAATCCTCCACCCAGCACACACATTATTATTTTTATTTAAGTTCCTTTTGCCATCAGTATGTTCATAATTCCAGCACTCAGGAGTTTGAAGCAGAAAGCTTGAGGATTTGCTATCTTAGAAGCAACCAACCCACAAAACCCCCAAATTCCTCTTGTCGGGCCTCCCTCTTCCACCTCAGATCTATACACCCTACTCACCACCCCACAATATACATATACAATATACAATATACAATATACAATATACTCCTCTTTCCAGAGAAGAGGTTTGGTTTTGTTTTTCTTCACTCTGAAGTTCCGTGTCAGGAGTTGGCTTAGTCCATCGCCATTTTTTGTAAGTCAGGTTTTCCTGGAACCCAGCCATATGTATTTGTTTACATATTGTCTGTACTGACTTTGTGTGACAGTGGCCACGTCAGTAGTTTTGACAGTGACTACATGACTCACAGATCTCTAACTGCTTATTATCGAGCTCCTGGTGGATCTGTTTCCCAACCCCTGTTCTGATGACGATAACAGCCTGTGTCCGTCATCAGCTTACAGCTCCAAATCCACCCTGCAGGACCTGTCCTGGAAAAACAGACCAAGTACTTCCCACTTGACTGAGCCTCACAGACAGACTCTCCAGGAGAGGGAAGAGCTCCAGCAGACAAGGGGCTTCTGATTCCTCCTGGCTACTGGTCTTTTCCTATTCTTGCTACCTGATTAGTGACACAGAAGCTCGGGGACTGCCTGTGGCATGCCCTCCAGCTGAACCCCAAGATCAGTCCCTTGGTGATGCCTAGGTTTGGGGACCACCTTCCT